CACAATTCGAGCATGGTCAATGTTCAAAGACGACACGGGAAAGTAAACAAGCCTCTTTGTATTTCCGAGAATAATATGTTCATGAAAGGAGTTGATAGGGCCTACCAGTTCTTGGCCTATTATTCCAGTAAAATGGACGAAGAAAGTTGCACTGTGGCTTATAAACTATGCAATTTTCAATTCATTTACGGTTTTCAAAAAGGTGAACAGAAATTCNAAGCATTTCTGTTGAAACTGGCAAAAGCTTGGGCTACTGACGTCACGGTGGCGGCAGTACCTCTGTCAGACACAGACGTAGTGCAGCCGGGGCGATCTGTTCGCACCCGCCGGAGGCCTCAAGTAGACCCCCCTGGCCGACTCTTGGGTGATATGCGGAAACATATTCTCCTGAAAATTGTGAAGAGAATATTGCAAGAAGAAACACCCTTCTAGGCAGTGCTGTGTGTGCGCAGAGCACAAGAAGAAGAGTAGAACTGCCTAAATGTGCAATTTCTTCATAATGCCTCTTCACAAAGGGGAATGTTTCCAGAGATATCACACACGCAAGCACTTCTAGGAGCTCTGTTAAGTGTTCTCCAAAAATTTCAGTTCATAAAATTAATTAGGAGATTTTATATTAATTTTTAAAGTGAACAGTGCACAAGTTAGGGTAGTAGGTTTAAAAACGCCAGTCCCCAGGGTGATTTAAATGTTTAAACCACCGGTCCACAATGTGTTAGGATGTGTTCCCGATGCCACTTCCTCACTATTGCTCTCTACACCTTTTACACATTCTTTGTATCTAATGTTCAGTCACCTTTCTGCCTGACAGACCAACAAAAAAATCTGTCATGACAACCAATCACCTGACAGCAGGTACAGGGACAACTCAAATGGTGTCAGGTATATTAAATTTACTTCAAACAAAAGGAAACAGGTAACCCATGTCTATATTCAGTCACACATTTTCACAATTCTTTAGAGAATCATTAGTTATCCTCTTACAAATCCTCAACATAATGACACCTCTATGTTACTACATGGATACAGACTGCATGGGAGACAGAAAACAATGGATAAACTTCAGCATTTATAGATCCTGGGAACTCCATGATGTAGTACCAAAGCACTGCTTCGTGGATGCGACAGACAAAGAAAATGTGAAGAATTTTTCCTGTAGAGAATTTACCACAAACATTCAGTTTATACAGTATTTCATTTCATCTATATTAGAACTGATCAAAAGAAAATGAGACTGGTACATCACAAGCAACATTCTACAAACTACGGTTGCCTGGACACATTACAGGAAAAAGATACCTTCAGAATCTAGTCAACAGCGCACTGGAGCTGTTTCATGTTTGCAGACAGACAAGCAGCATTTCTGCACATTTCTGTCATCTGCCTAACAGTCCACACAAAGCTCACCTCTAGTTCGGCCTTTATTTCTGGAAAAGTTATTGGGACAGGATCCTCTTCCTCTTCTGCATCTGAGACTGCCTCAGCTTTTACATTCATGGCCTGATTGACATCATGAGGTGTTGGGTATGTCTCACCATGTGGAACCACTAAAGCATTCTCCAAATTTGTACAATTCTGTAAAAACCATCACATCCTTCTCAGAAATGGATGCACAACACCCTACATTAACCAGTGTATGCTCTCCTTGCTTTGGCTGTTTTTAATAACATCTAACTCATAAGAGCTGTTCTGTACAGATGTTCTTCTCTACAGCTCTCATGATCACTAGAAAGTACTCAGTGAGCTTCCCGAGGAACTAACAGTCACTGCAACAGTACAGAAAATATCTCCTTTTTTGGTACCTAAAAACATCATAATGAAGAGCTCCACAACTTGTAACCTTCATTCACCAAGCATAATTATATGATAAAGTCCAGAAGGTTGAGATGGGCAGCTCATTTAGCAAGCATGGGGGTGAAGAGGAATGCATACAGGATATGTTGACAAAGCCAGAAAGGGCTCATTACTGTGATCACACATGCACATCATGACTCTGTATACTAAGGCAAACAGACACAGCACAAACCCTTCCAAATTATTTATTTCAAATCTATCTTAATAGCATCTCCCCATCCACACTTAGGTCTCCCAAGTTGTCTGCTTCTCTCAGGTTTTCCCTTCAAAACTTTGTATGCATTTCTCACTGTTGCATGTGCACTACATGACTTACCCACATCTCTCTCCTTGAACTCATTGCTCTCCTAAATAATATCCCAAACCATTATCACCCAAGTGTATGAAACTCTCAACGTGGATCATGCAAACAAACAGAAGTGTTTCACAAAATATTTAGTTACTTTGGCCAACACAACTGACATACAATACAATTCATATCTGTGCACACAAGCACGAAACACTCAGAATTCATTCGCTTACATCAGGAAACTTTTCTTCAGCTCTATACAGTAGAATTTTTGCCACTCTTGTTGCAAGAGAATGCAGAATCTTTTGGAACCTTGAAACCTGTTCATCACAAGATAAATATCTTGTTGGTTCATTGGAATTAGCTCACAAGAGTCCTAGTAACTTATTGGTTCTAACAATACCACTAACAACCTGCGAAGAGTTCTGTAACGCCCTAAGGATTTGTGCTGCTATAGAATTTCTCTCAGATACAGTTCTGTTTATGCAAAA